GGATCGCCAGAGCCCAGCAGTGGTGGCTGGGAGCAGCCTCTGCACTCCAGTCTGGGCAACAGAGTGAGACTCCAACTCAAAAAAAAAAAAAGAAAAGAAAAGAAAAGGCCAAATGACCCAGTTCTAAGTGTCATATTTTGTTCAATTATGAAAAGAGTAAAATCTTGAGGCTATGTCACTTCAAAAAGAAAGAAAAGTGGATTTATTATGAGAATACCCATAAAAATTGAAGTTGGGGAACCATCAGGACCCGAGAGTCTCAGTTTCTCTCTCTCGACCTATGAACTTGTTCTCCTTATCCTCCCCACACTTGTTGTTCCACTCTGCTACCCAGTTAGTGAGGGACCTCCATCATCCCTGTGTCCAAAGCTCAGAGGACACCAGTCTGATCATTGGTGAGTCACCTGCCAGCCAACAGAGTGAGCCACTTTGAGTCAGGGGATTTCACCACTTAGGACAGCCTGGTGCTACTCCCTATTTCGGGCAGGATTATTTCAGAGAGCAGGAGATGTTAGGGGGAGCACGCCTGGTACCTAAAATGTCCAGTTCATTGTAATAGCCTGTATCACATTCTGTCACATAGATAAAGTCACAGCTCCCTCCTAAGCCAAAAACTCCTGGATCATAAAGGCTGGATCTTTTTTTAGTTTTTTTTTATTTTTTGAGTTGGAGTCTCACTCAGTCGCCCAGACTGGAGTGCAGTGGCTGCTCCCAGCCACCGCAACCTCAACCTGCTGGGCTCCGGCGATCCTTCGCCTCAGCCTTCCAAGTAACTGGAACTGCGTGCTACCACGCCCGGCTAATTTTTGACTTATTGTAGAGATGAGGTTTCGCCTGCCCAGGCGGGTCTTGAACCCATGGGCTCAGGCAATCCACTCACCTTAGCCTCCCAAAGGCATGGGATTACAGGCTGAGCCACCGAGCCCAGCTAAGGCTGGTTCTTAATCATGGGCTTGGCATCCAACACATGCAGTGATTCCACGTGGCCCAAGCAGCCTATGAGACCTCTTTCAAGCCAAGATTCTTTAATATAGCCACTCAACAATTATAACCAGGAGAGACACTTGGAGGCAACCAAACTTCTTCTCTATTGAGGAGTAAGAACCCCATCTATTGGCTGTGAAAACTTAGGGAAATTTGTACCCCAGTTTCCTTACCTGTAAAATGGAGATGACAACAACAACAGCAACAATAATAATGGTTCCCACCAGATAGAATTACTGTAAGAATCACAGTAGGTTCGTTCACACAGGGTTTGGCTCAGTGCTCCAGTAAATGTCTATAGTTGTTGGGGGTGTTGTTTCTATTATCCAAAGCCATTCCGCAGCTCTGAACTCCAACTTGTATAGTCTGCTCTGAACTTAAAAGGCCTCTCTGCCTTAATGGGCATCTGTCATTGCTCCAGCAGGCCTTGAGGCGTCACTCCTCCCCCAAAATTTGTTGCAAACACCCAGAGCACCCTTCCCAAGGAGAATTCTTAGAAATACAATGGTCTCCATCCTGTTACTCTCCAGCGATGTGTTGTGGCCTTCCTGGACTGACAGCCCTGGACTCTGGACATAGCAGATGCTGAGAGGCAGCAATAGATAGCTTCATTCTGGCTTTCAGGCCT